ATACACATAGAGAGAGAGAGAGAGAGAGAGAGTATGTCTCATTAGCTCTATTTCTATCTGCATTTATGTATCTGCAGAGAAAGGGAAACTGACACGTGTGGAAAGAAAGCATTTATGGTTCTGTGCCCAGGGTTACTGGTGAAATTTAGGGGTGTGTGGGGTCCCTGGCCACCTGGGCAGCGCTGGAGGTTGGGGATGGGTAGATGTTGGAGGGAGACACCCTCGATAGTAGATGTCCTTGGTATCACCAAGAGGATCTCGGGAGGTCCTGCTTCGTAGGTTCAAGTCCTTGCAGGGAATCTTTCTGAGCTGTGGGCATCTCACCTCTGCATAGACGGCAAAAGCGTTTGGTGTGAGAGTTGGGTTAGAATGCAGAAGCAGATGTTAGAGGGTGGGAAAGAGCAAGGATTCCTCCTCACCTTTTGCTCCAAGGAGCACTTAACAGTTCTGGCTGTGGGGGACAGAAGCGCTCAGATTAGGGCCTCTGCACTCATCAACACATCTCCCCGCCCATCTCTTTTCTTCTAGAGAGCACAGACAGCAAGGTTCCACACCATCTGAAACAGAATCTGGAATCCAGAGACCCGGGTCCTAGCCCCAGTTCAACCATCACCAAATGCCTGACCCCAGTCCAGGCACAGCTTTCTCAACCAGAAAAAGGGTCCCAGCGGTAAGTTCCTCACAAGGAAACAGTGTGACTTCAAAGAGGTGAAAATGTAAAAAATGTCTTTGAAATAACTGCTTCACTAGACTCCTCCTGTATACCAGACAACCTTTTACATGAGGGGATTGTATTTATTATAGAAAGTGTGATAAAAAACATAGTGTGTCTTTAAATTAAAAGATTATTACAGGGCCAGGGTTTTAGCTCACAGTGGTTCTGCCGCCTGCCTCTCAAATGCAAGGACTCCAGTTCGATACCTGGTACCCCCCAAAAAAAATTATTACAGTAAAAGACACTATGTTTTGATCACCCCTGTAGTTAATCTTATGCCAATCCTGCAAAACCTGGATTATTAATTCTTTTTTCATATTGGAATAAAAAATATAATGTCACTTCCATAAGAAGTAAACTTTAGGTAAATTTTGAATCTTTTTTTTTTGTTGTTGTTGTTGTTTTGTTTTTTTTGGTACCAGGGATCGAACTTGGGACCTTGCACTTTCAAGGCAGGTGGTGACAGCACTGAGCTAAATCCCTGGCCAAATTCTGAATCTTTACAAACTATGAAACATTCTCCCCATGATCCAATATCCTCTTGCCTAGTCACCTTGGAACATAAATAAATGGCTTCTCTTTATTTTGCGTTTCAAGTCCCTTCAGCCACACATCATGAAAGCCTTCTCAGAGCAGATGTCCGTCTCCGTCCCCGCCCTCAAATCATGCCCTTACATTTGTCACTGTGTTAGGATTTAAATAGTCAGGCTTTCCTCATTTTGCCAATGCAAGTCATATATTCGGGGGGTTTTGTTGTTGCTTCTCTCTTAGGTTTAGATCCTCATTGTAATCCTTCCCAGGGAGGAGCTGTGCCACTGTCCACTTTCCATGTGCCCTGGCAATGCTTTGGGCAGTAACCAGCAGGTCCTGGGAAACACCTCCTGGGTCAAGAGACTCCTCGGCTGTTTACTGCCCATTGTGCCCTTTGTGGGGAAGGCAGAGACTCCAGACTGATTCAAACTATTTTTATAGATCAGGTGTAGAAATCTCAAAGCAGGCGAGTCATTAAAAAAAATACTCGTTTTTTTTTTTTTTTTTTTTGGTGCCTGGGATCGAAGTGCTTGCGAGGCAGGCGGTGGCCCCATTGAGCTAAATCCCTGTCCCATCCCTGTTTCTGAACCTATATTACATGCTAGATGATCTTTAATACTTACTCTGAGAACTCAGGTTCTGTTCTCAACAATTTATAGTAAGTAGTCTTGCAGAGTAGACATTGTGCCCATTTTATAGACTGGAGTCAGAGAGGTTAATTGACTTACTAAGTCACACAGTGAGTAAGTACATAGAGTCAGGGTTGGAACTCAGTTCTGCCCGACTCAGAAAGCCACACTTCACACAACGTCACCCTGCCTCCTTCCCTCCTGTTAGTGACAGGAGCAGCCTTCCCCCATCTCTGCTATCAGACGAGGCTAGAGTTCCCAGTCTTTTTGACTCCTTCTTCTAGCTGGGACTCTCCTGTCTCATCTTAGGCTCTGGGCCTGAGCAAACTGTACCATCCTTTTCTCTCTTTCCTTTGTTTCTTCACAGTGCCCAGGAAAAGGCAAAAATTCCCTGCAGTTATCACTGTGACAGTGGTAGAGGGTGGTGGTCATGGCAGCCCTTGTGATGATGGCAAAGGTGGGGGTGATGGTCACGGTCCATGACGACGGTGGTGATGGTGCTGTTAATGATGGTAGTGAGTGAGGAGATGGTGGTCATCGTGGTGGCGTTGGTGCTAAGTATGGCAGCATTGGTGATAGCAGTAGCTTTTGCTTGAGACAGCAATAATTATGGTAATGGTAGTGGTCCCCTCATCCTAGGCCCAGATCCTGCCCTTAGCAGAGATGTCAGGTCTGGGCTGAGATCACTCACCCTTGTTCCTTTCTGAGATTGTCCGCACCATAGAGTAGGTGATATCTTCATCTTTCTCTTCCTGGTGATGGACTGGAAGGAGGAATGAATAAGTTGCCTGACTCTCCCACCCCAAGCTACAGGCGTCCTGAAGACATTTACAAAGGGCAGCCAATCAGAGGCTTTGTCTTGGTGACAACTAGCAGAGGCGACCTCTTATTAATGTCGGGACATCATCCTGGAAGGCATGCCTGGCTCTCTCAGCAGATTTTAGCAGCTTCCTTGTTCCTGACACTGTTTAAACAACAGACTGACAAACTTCTTCTATGAGAAAGATAATAAATATTTTAAACTTTGTGGGCTGTATCATCTCTATCATAATTATTCAACTCTACAGTGTGACTATCTACACAGAATGGATAAACAAATGAGTATGATGGTGTTGCAATAAAACTGTTTATAAAAGTCAGCAGTGGTCTGGCTCATAGGCCATCATTTGGCAACTCTCTCTCTCTCTTTTTTTTTTTTGGTATTGGGAATTGAACTTGGGTCCTTGCACTTGTGAGGCAGGTGACGGCACCACTGGGCTAAATCCCCACTCTTGGCAACTCTTGATGCAAACCCTCTTGGCCTTCTCTCCTGAAGTCCTGTCCTCCCTCACCGCAGCTTCTCCAGCAGTTCCTCCTCAGACTTTCTCCGGAAACCATCATCTTTCTTCTCCAGATGATTGGTTCTGGAGATTTGGGCTCAGCAGGGCCTCCTTTTCGCCAGGCTCTGTAAGAGGTCCTTCTCTGCCTTTCTGGACAGACCACGGTCCTTCTGGAAGTCCTTACCATTGCCATCCAGTGCACCCTGCTCTCCACTTGGAGCTGGGGGAGGATTCTGGGCTGGAGGGGGCCCCAGGAAATACAAAAGCAGGATTCACTGACCGTCCCTCACAGAGCAGGTGGGGACAGAGAGGCTGTGAGAAGGATGATTTTCAGAAGGAAGAAAAGCTAGTATCTTTGACCATCTACTACATGCCAGACTTTGGACTGGGAATTTACAAAGCTCTATTTCCTAGTAGAGCACTAAACCCAATAAGCAGCATATACTTGGATTTCGAAAAAGACTTACTTCCTAATTCTTGCATGTCCAATACTCTTTTCTATCATTTTGAACGGGTGGACACTATTATCTCTATTTGACAGATGAGATGACTGAGGCTGGGAGAAGGGAGATCTCCAAGGTTGCAGTCAGTGGTTGAGACAGACTCTTAATGTAGGTTTCTACGCTCTTCCCTACTAGCGTGATGCCTCTGTGACGGCGTTTGCTTCCAGAAGAGGGCGCTCCTGAGACAGGAACTGAGACTTTAGAAAACTTGGGTCCTGTCTAGTGCCTGAGAGATGCTCATTAGCTCTAACAGCAAAAAAAGCATCAGAATCACCAATTAGGATCTGTGGAAACAGCCCTCCTGTAAAACTGAAAGGGCATCTATGGAGACTCAGACAGGCAGGCACCTGATTGTCAGACAGTCCGAATGCTCATTTGTCAGGACTGTGCTGCTGAGTCTCCATCCAATGAACAGTTCTGTGACTTGGGTGGGACTTTGTTTTATGGGAAGGGTGACAAACTGTACAAGGAACGCTGTAAAACAAATACCCCAGAACTCGTACAGGGAGGTAGAGAGTTACTTTGAAGTGAACCCTTTGCATGATCACATCACAGTTCCAGTGACAGCATCATTGGTCAAATTGTTTGGGAGCTCACCTTTAAAGACAGCAGCAGATCTTGGTGGTGGCATTTTTTTTTTTTTAAGGAATGGATATGCTGTCTGGAAATGGTTAAGAGTCTTCCAGAGCCGAGCATGAGGAATAAAGCTGTTAATCTGGCTGTTTTTTTTTTTTTTGGTAGCTATAGAATTGTGTCCGAGGGTGGCTTTCTGAGTGACATTCTGCAGAAGAGTTTGTGTCCCCGAGAACCTGAGATATCAGGACCACCACCAGGAGTCCAGTTTGGATGGTACATAGGCTCCTTGGTAAATCAAAGCCCACCTGCTCCAGGGCTGATATTCTCTGGATGGTGAGAGGTGCTCTTTTGTTCACAGTAACAGGTATCTTTGCCTTGGGGATCATTCTCTAGCGACTGTCCCTACACTGTTTTACCTGGGGCTGGGGAGGGAGGCAGCTGTGTGTTACCCTACCCTTAATGTTCTGACCCACAGGTGAGTGGTCAGAAGTGCCTGTGCTGCTGAGGTCAGGCTGGGACGTTTGGAGTGTTTCTTATTAGTGGCTGGGATGGCCGGACTCACAGGTCCTCAGCTTCTGTCTCCTACTCCAGCTGTCTTCCCTTCTGGCTTGAGACCTACCTCCACCCTCAAGATACCATCAAGCAAGTCCATTCTGTATAAAATCCAGACTTAAGACTAGCAGGAAGTGAGGGATGGGAAGTTGGACGTGTGAGGATGGACAGACGAACAAGGGGAGAGGAAGTAGAAGGCAAGTTCAAACCCTAACTGTGAAGGCAGGAGCCTGTGCTTCAGGCTGGGGAGAACACCTTTCAGATACCTGGAGACGGTCAGGGAACAATGCTCCGGATTCATGGACGGGTGGTCTTTCTGCATGAGTAAGCTGGCTCAGCTCTGGAAAGCTCACTAAAAATTCCTTGACAGAGAAAGCTGAAAAGTTGAATAAGTAAATCTAGCTTTGGAGGTCTAGGAGAGCGATCACTTTTGCCCTAGACATGAAGAAAATAAAAATATTGTTCCCGCAAAGGACTAAGTAAGGCTGATTTGAACCTCTATAGGTAGATTCAAAGCCCTAGGAATAAAGTGGCACTAAATGACTCTGACACTGACAGCCATTCCTTTAAATGTGGCCAGAACCCCGGGATTTAGCTCAGTGGTTCTGCTGCCTTGCCTCGCATGCTCAAGAAACCGAGTTAGATCCCTGACACCAAAACAAACAAACAAACAAACAAACAAAAAAACTGTGGCCAGAAGTGGAAGAGGCTTGGAGTTAGAACAAACATGTAGCCACCCACAGCAATTGCTTTCAAAATCAGCATTACTGCTTAATTGTCATTACCAAGACAGGAAGGAGAGTGTCTGGGATGAAAAACAGAGAGATAACCTAGAAACTCCATCTATCTGACTGTTTTCACCTGTTCTCTGTAGAATCCTCTACACCAGCATTGTAACTATTGTTTTTATTTTCAGTGACTTTAGAGGAATCAGAAATGAGCAGCCAAAGAAAGGGAAGCCTGGGGAAGCTGCCGGGATTATCTGCTTGGACTAGAATGAGAATGTGCAGAGCACCCACTATGGGGCAATCGAATACCTTAGGTATTAGACTTATGTCATCTCAGTAACTTCAACCTCAGAGAGAGAGAGAGAGAGAGAGAGAGAGAGAGAGAGAGAGAGAGAGTTTAGTGAAGTTGCCAGATTGGGACCAGGCCATTGGTTAGTCTTTTTGATCACACTTCCCTTCTGATGTACAAGGTGTGTGTGTGTGTGTGTGTGTGTGTGTGTGTGCGCGTGTGTACAGTCTCTGATTTCTTCTCTATTTAATGAACTGGAGTTCTACTAATATAACTGTGGGAGCCCGGACATGGCCCTCTAGGCGTTTGACATTTAAAAGGAAACTTCTTCACCTCTACACTAAAGGCATTGATACAATCTGTAACGTTCTAGGACTCTGCTTGTTAAACTTGTTGCTGCAACGGAAGAAACTCAAAGAGACAGCCATAGATCTGATGTTCTTTGCAAACAGTTAGAAAATCCGGGCTTTGCATAAAAGATACAAATAGTTGCTTGGTGCTTCCTGTTGATGTGAACCTAGAAAAGGAGCTGTTTCCGTGAAATAAATCGGACTTCTCTTGGTCTCCACTCAGGCTGGAGTGTTCTTTCCTTTCTCAATCCTCACTCCCCAGCTCAGGCATGTTCGTGTCGTGACGGCTGGACCGCCACATATAACAGAGTGGGAGGCCTTGTTCTTTTCTGTCATATTCCTGCTGTAGATTGTCTTTTCAATGTGAAGGACACCAATACATATTGTGTTTGGTTTGTAGGAATTCTTCGGTTTATGCTTCAATTCAAGCCCGGATAGGCATTAGTGCTATTGTGTACATCTCTGCTGTGACTACTTAGGTGGCACGTCTGTGTATGTACATGTTTTAGAAGTGACAAGAGTCCCTTCTTTGTGTGAGATGTAAAGAGAGGCCTCTCCTCCCACTCAGTACTCAAGAAAAGAGACTTGTCGGTCCTGTTGTGCTCTGACTTCTCCAAGGCTGGGTAGTGCCTGGCATAGGGATTTGGCAGCCATGAGAGACAAAAAGAGTTACTCACCAGCTTTTCTCCAGGGTCTGAAATAAGCCAGAAATGTCACAGCAATGACACCAAGCAGGCTCCCAGTTAGCCCAGCAACCAGCCGATTGCTGATGGTGGGGGTGGACACGACTTGAGAACCTGGGGGTTGGAGGACTGAACACAAGCATTGAGCGTGAAGTTCAGAAGAGCCTCTCAGATGGCTCGGAAAGGCAGAATGGCTGGCTTTAGCAGAGCCATGTGGCCTGCGGAGATGGGAATGAAGGGTAGCTCAGAGGTTGCCAGCATGACCCGGTGACACCACGGGCCACCTGGTACCCTCCCCTCATGGTGCTCCCACACCTGGCAGGCTCGATGCATGGACATTCCAGTCAGGGCCCGTCCTCCGCCATGCAGAGCCTGCCTTGGCTCATCACCGTGCCAGGCATGGTGGGAAATCACCGAGGAGTGAGATCTGAACGTGGCCAGCTTGCAGGGGCTCAGAGCCTGGTTTGGGGACAAAACACACCATGCAGGGATTCATGGGCTCGCTCATCCATCCTGGGCTCACTTTTCTCTCTGGGGACACTGTTCTTGGCATTTTCGGAGTAGTTCCCAGCATCTTGCTCTGACTTCAGTGGGAAGTGGAGGGAGGCAGCTCCACATGGAAGACCGAGTGGTTCCCCAGGATCTCCCCGTCAAGGTAGAACAAGTAGAGGATTGGAGAGGAGCCCCTCTGGGCCTCACAGGGTAGCTCTGTCACAGCCCCCTCAGCAGGGCTAGTGGCTCCATGTCGCAGGGTGAGGAGAGGAAGGGACACAGGAGCTGCTATGGCAGGTGGAATAGGGGTCAGCCTGTCAGGCTCCTTCTCCCTACAGACCCTTCCCCACTCCTGAGGTCCTGTTCCTGGGGCCCCTAGGGAGTCCTGACTCCCTCTCTTACTCACCCTGAGCCCTGATTTTCAACAAGGGGCTCTGTTTCTGGACATGGCCACCCTCAAGAGCCACTCTGCACCAGTAGATCCCAGAGTCTCCCTCATTGGAATGCAGAGTTCTGCATGGTGGCCCATGCTCTGTATGGTGTGACCGTCCTTATAGAAGGAGAAGAGGAACTACAAGGCTGACTTCTGGGGGTGCAGCTCCTTCTGACACCTCAGGATCAACAGACTCCCTTCGTGGGGCTCTGGAGAGGGGTCAGTGCTCAGCACAGGAGGCTGGAACAGCTCTGGGAAGACGTTAGTACCTGAGGAGCGGGGAGCCCTGCAAAGCGAGGCCTAGGAGGCTGAGGACTGAGCTCCTGCACAGCCCAGGCCACAGCTCTGTGACCCAGTTGGGAGATAGCATTGCCCCCCACCTGTCTGTCAGAGCCAGACAGGCCCTTGGCGGTCGTGTGGTCCCATCTTGGTGGGAGCATGGTTGGGCTGGCCCAGAACCCTTTCTATCACCCTTCCCTTGGCTCCAAATGTGTCTCTGAGGATGAAGGGGGCATTTGGATAGCATCAGGGACCCTCAGGGCTCATGCATTGGTCCAAGATCAGTGGCAGCCAGGGACAGGCAGCTCCTGACTGTTAGAGCCTGGACCCTTGAGCAGTTGCCTATTGCCATAACCCACTAAGCCGGTGACTCACCTTGAACTTGAACCATGGTAGCCTCTGAGGTTTGTAAGACCATGTATGGGAGAAATAGCACGTCCTCCCTGCAGCGGTATTTCCTTCTGCTTTTTACTGTTGCTACTCCAATAGACAGAGGCCAGTTGACCTTAGTGAAATGAAGGAATTTTCCATCTTTGCAGAACTTCACCTGGGAAAGTGGAGTGTGTTTTTCCCCCTGGCACTGCAGAGTCAGGGTATCTCCTTCTAAAACAGGGTTAGGCAGGACTTGGAGGTTCAGGAACAGGAAGAGCCTGGAGCTGCAGGTCTCCTCAGTCCGCTCCCTTCTTTGTCCCCAGCCTATGTCTACTCGCTGTACATGAAGACTCTGGACAGAACTTCCCAGCTGCCCCGTGTCAGTCCTTCATCCCACACCAGGACCTTGGCTTCCTTTTATTTTTCTCTCCTTCCTCTTCTTTGTTTTCTCCGTGTATCCCCCACCCTTCCTCCTCTCCCTCTTCCTCTCCCTTCTATGCCTTCTCTCTGGCTTTTCCCCCCTCTAAGCCTCCTTTCCCCCTTTTTATATTGTACTTTCTTTCACCGCCTTGCCAAGTTTGGCAAAGTTAGGTTGATCCAGTCCATTATCTGGCTTCGTTTTCCCAGACTCAATTTCCTCTCCCTAGGATTGGCTTCGTATCCCCCAGCTACCCCAGAGTGATACTTCCTGCAGCTTTCACCCTGAGAATAGCTGCATCTCTGTCCATCAGAGTAGAGAGGAGCCAGTGGAGAGGGTTTGTGAGAAATGCCTCAGCCGAGGGTCGCTCCATCTTGCCTCTCCAGTCAGGCTTCCCAGCCCCTTCCTCCATCTGCAACCTCAGCAGGGAGTTTCAGCTTCCACCACAGTCATGAGAAAGATTTGTTCTCCCTGTCCTTGCTCCTATCATGCATTCTTGCCCTGATGTGGACAAGAGAAGAGCTCTGAGGGATCCAACATCATCTGCAGGGCTGGATCCTTACTGAAGGGTGGGTCTTTCTTCCTCAGCTGCTCCTTCTCTCAGTCAAAGTAGGGGTTTAAATTTCCTCCCCTTAAATCACATAACACGTCCTTGGAGGTCCAATGTTCATAGTGTAGAGTTTCCTTCTACTTGACAGAAAACACCACGGAGGCCCTTGGAACGAGGCAGACTGGAGAATAGGAGTAGCAGAGGAAGAAAAAGACTGATGGACAGACAAAAGCTTACTTCTATGTATAGAAAAGGGAAGGAAATGAGCCTAAGCTGTGTTGAATGGAGAATACAAGTGCTCCAGGGCCACACTGAGAAAGGGGACAGAAGCCAGAGCCATGTTTTTTTTAGTACTGTGAATTGAACTCAGGACTTTGTGCTTGCCAGACAGGTGGTAGAACCACTGAGCTAAATCCCTGGCCCTCCAGAGCCATTTTTGGGGGACTTGGAGGAAGGTCCAGAGCCGCTCTGTTGAGACTCCACTCACCCTAGGACCCTCGGCCTTAGCCAGTGGAGTTCCAGGTGTCTCCTCTCCCTGGACACGGGCCAAGAATCCTAAGAAAGGAGCCTAGACTGCAGCTGCTCTACAGAAGTTTCTGGGATTCCCAGTGGCACTGTCTCCATCACATGTTGGCCCAGAGACACCCTTGGAGTCAGAAGACGTGGCAAGACTTACCTTTTGTCTCAACACAGGAAACTGCAAGAGAACAAAATGACTTTTAAAAAATAAATAGCAGAAAGAAGTCTCACACTGAAAGAACTTTCATACCTGTCACTTCAGCAATTGGTGCTGCATCCAGCCACTCAGCCAATCACCCACCTACCCAGCCACCCAACTAACCAATCACCCACCTACCCAGCCACCCAACTAACCAATCACCCACCTACTCAGCCACCCAACCATGCCCCATTCAACTAAATCATTTTTGTGGTGGACGCACTCCCTGGAATCCTCTGCGCTATTGTGGTTCAAATGTTGCCTCCTCAGACAGGTTTTTCCTGGGACCACAGTCAAAAGAATTCTCCCCAGTCACTATCACTATGTCCCATTGTCATCAGAGCACTTATTATTTGTATTTGGGTTTATCTTAATCACTAAGTCCCATGATGTTATCACCGATCTTCCTCTGCTTAGAATTAGAATGTAATCAGGGACTCTGCCTTTTTTTTCTTTCTTTCTTTCTTTCCTGGGGATTCAACTCAGGGCCTTCTCAGTGAGCTATATCCCGAATCCTTTTTAAATTTTGAGATAGGTCTTTGCTAATTTGCCCAGGCTAGCGACGTGTGATCCTTCTGCTTCAGCCTCCCAGAATGCTGAGATTATACGTATGCCCCACTATGCCTGACTTGATTCTATTTATCTTACCAACAGCCATGCTCCTATGTGTAGAACCTATGCCCGGACATTGTGTTCCATAAGCATTTGCTGAATAAGTGCACGCCTGCTCTCCTTTGCATCGGTGGTGTGGGTCAGGGATCAAAAAGTAGAAGACATAAGACTATTCTCTTGCACCAAATGGCCAAGTGCTCACCTCTCACACTTATAGAAGAGCCATCTAGGAAGGTCTGGCCCCAGTTCCTGTGGTTCAATATGTCCACAGGGCTCTGAGGGGACAGAGCATGGATGTGACCAGATTGTGAAGGCAAAGTTCCTTGGATGCACAGTTTCTTGATGTGGGACAAATGAGAGAAGAACCAATGAGCCAGATGCATCACGCACCGTGCTGGTACCTGCACACAGTGTATCAAAAGATGAGCGTAAATTGTCCAAGGGAGAGAGGACCCTAAATTGAGGGGCATCGTTGAATATGAAGCAGGTGGAGCATATGTTGGACTTTGGGGCAGGAGATGCAACAGTGAAAGTTCGAAGGGCTAAGTGCAGTCACATCAGCCAATCTTCCCATATGCTGACTGGTGTCCTTCATTGCTGATGTGTCCTCAGTACTGCAAGGGACACTGAGAAACACAGGCATGGCCTCCGGAAAGATGGTGAAAGCCCTGTCAGAGCACACATTTGTCACACGCTCCCTACAATATTTTGGACATAAAGGGAGTTTTCAGCTTGGTGATCTTCTACTCACGCCGTTTTTAATTCCTCAAGTGTTGGGAGAACCGTAAGAGTCTGTTTCTTATCATTCCTCTATCCATCCGCTTTCTCCACCCTTCCTACCTAGGAGCTTGTTGTAGTAGAAAACAGGCAAGATTCAGAGAGAGATGACCTGCACTGAACTCATGAATCTGCCTCTTTCCGTGTGAACTTGGGCAAACTGTCTGAATTCCAGAGCCTCCCATCCTCGTTCTGTCATCTCACATGATGGGAATGGTAGTCATATTATTTTTACAGGCTGACTGTGAAGGTTATATTGCCCCACTGACTAGAAAAGTGGTTACTACATTAACTGGAAGCAGAAAGGCCTGACCTCAGAGTGACTGATAACTCACTCTGTAGTTGTGTCTCCATTACATTTCTCTCTTCACTAGAAAACGATCTTGCAGCTACAAAGCGTGAAACAAACAAGGTTGGGCTACAGTGGCCTTCGACAAGGGTGAAGGCATCCAGAGACCATGGAACCACTTCACACTACCTCAGGTCTCCAAGTCCCACTGACCGCAGGGCGTTGGCATCGTGATCACAGAATCACCCTCTGTGATCGAGACAGCAGCTACCTGGGATGTACAGAGCGGGAAGGCCCAGCAGCCCCACTCACAGAGCCTGAAGATGAGGTGAAAATGTGATGAGGTGGCCGGGAGCTATTGTCAAACTAAGTTGCAGCACTGAATCCCAAATTGTGGAGGGAGCAGCCCCTGGAACTCTGCACTGGTCAGTCACGCTGGAAGGGTTCTCCAGCTCCTGGGACACTGATAAAACACATCAAGACAAGGCAGCCCAGGATGAGAAAGCACCTAGGCAATGTTTCCTATTAGATTTGCTGAGGAAGTGGGAGGTACTTATCTGAGCATAGTCTTCAGTCACTTGGTAGGCTAAGCTTAAAAGAAGGGGCAGACTTAGTCTGAGTTAGCTTTGTAGGACAGAAATGCAACCAATTCATGGGAATTAGAGGGACCAGGGAGGGAGATTTCAACTCAACATGAAACCGTTCCTATGGTCCACTATGTCCAGCTGAGCTCTACCATGGTGGAACACATTGCTTGGCCAAGTGTGGGTGCCACATTGCTGGGAGGATTGTGTGGAGGCCCCCTGCCTCATGCCACAGGCACTGTGTGAGTATGTGAGATGGGCTCAGTACAGGGTGGAAGTTGGCTGATGCTTCAGAAGAATAGTAAGGGCCATCTCCCAAACTTTATATATTTAGTGTTTGGACTTCATCAACATGTTCAATGTCAAGGCTCCTTAGCTTCCTCGATCCCCTAGAGCCAGCGACAGTCATAGCCACCAAATACTGTGACCCTGCCCGGCATTTTAGATGAATTATTACTTTCCAATTTTGCCTAATTAGAGTCCAGTTTCATTCAAAACAGTGGTGGAGCAGTAGAGTGGAGAAAGCATGGGGTTCGCTATCCGATGGACTTGAATTTGCGTCTTTGTTTTGCTCTTATAAGCAGGGTAATTCCAAGAGAGTTTCTTAATTTTTTTGGAGCCTCAGTTTTCTCAACTGTTAAAAAGTGATAAAAATAACTAGCCTATAATGTTCTAAAACTTAGGAAGATGCACACACTAAAAAGTAGTAGAAGTTTGGTGTTTTTTTTTTTTTCCTTTTCTCTCTGTCCACATCCGAGAGGAAATAGCTGTGCTCTTAATGTTAACAGTTCCTACACCCAACTGTAGGGCATGTGTTTTAAGCTGTTTTTCTGGGCTTGCTGAGCATTGGGTGCAGCCTGATTATATCTGTGTTCCTTTACGTTGTGTCCTCTCTCCCCTGCCTTGCTATCTGGATCTTCGGTTCAAAATTGTGATGTTCTTAGACTTTATCTAGACAAGTCCAAGGGCTGTTACTTTCAACTTGCCCTTGGGAACCTTCCATTAGAGTCTATCCAGGCACTGGGCTATCCTGACCCTGTGTAGTGTGAGCATTAGATCTTTTCTCTTTCCAGTGGCCATTTTTAGGACGCACAGAATAACACATTGATGTAAGAGTAGAAGAAACACATAAGAGAACAGTCATTTTCCTCACAGTCTTGAATTCTCACAAACTCTGTCCAGGAAGAGATCACACCGAGGAACAGTTTTGCTCTTCTGGTTCCATGAAAACACCCAGCCAACAAACAAACAGGCAAACAATTGAACCAATTAAAAAAAAATAGGTCTACTCAGAAATTGTCACCGGAAATAAACATATGTGCACATCGTGTCTTGTAAGTGCAGCGAGGTGACCCTGGCTGAAACTGAGCTGAGCCTAGGGGAGCAGCCCAGAGACCCGCCCACTGCTACAACCCTTCCTATTGGACCGCCTTCTCCAGTAGTCCTCGTGACTGGGGGGCACCGGGAGAATGGAGGGAGAGAGCAACAGGGATCAGAGAAAACAGACTGGACCCTGTGAATCAGCCCCAAGAACCAGGCAGGACCCTCATCCCCTCACTTCCAACAGAGAAAGAGTATGGGCAGAAGAGGAAGGGTCAATTTGAAAAAAGCTTTGTATCCCCGAGTGAGAAGTCTGGCTATTGGTAAAAGGTTCTAAGAAAACAGCGTCTTCACAAAAGCACATTCTCACCTTCTGTTGCTGAAAACAGTTCATGGAACTTCTGTCCCCATGTCTCTGATCTGTTCTTTGATCCCCTCAGCAGCCTCTCTTTCCCATTGTAATTTTGGTTTTCCTTTTGAGACAGCCCCGATGATTATTTTAACCCGATTTCACTGGGTGAAAACCCCACTGGGTAACAAGGAGGCCCCAGGCTGTGATTTTTCTGTTTTCCTAGTCTATCTCTGACACACGGAGAAGCTGCTCTGATCAGAATGCAGGAAGGCAGGATAGTAAACAGAAAGGATCCTCCAAGCCTCTGTGCCCATCGACCCCAAGCATAAACAGGGGTGTGCACTTTTCTCAAGCACTACCCACAAACTCAGTTGAATCCGGAAAGGAAAGGTCAGGAATTGTGTCTCAGGAACCAGTTACAGACCTCAGTGTCTCAGGAGGTGATGCCCCTGACCAGTGACTTACCAAATAGCAGCGCAACCATGCAGCACAGCATGGTGCCCGTCCTGGTGCCCCACAGGAGGAGGGTCAACTCTGCAAGCCGAGGTGAAGCTGTGGGGAGAGCACCTTCGCTGATGCTCAGGGTGAGTGTGTGTGTGTGTGTGTGTGTGTGTGTGTGTGTGGTGGGGTGGGGATGGGGGGTTTATGGCTTGATAGTCTAAACAGAGGAAGTGGGGAAAATCGCTATTTTCTCTTGGTTGGAGTATATGATATACATTTATTTTATTAAACAAGAGGTACAAAAGAGCCAGATAAATCACAAATAAGCACTTTCTGACACGCTATAGCTTCAAAAACTCCAGGGAAGCAGGATAGGATGTGGCTGTGGGACATCCTTGTTAGAGAGGTCTGGAGACTTCCAAAATTTTGTCTCAGCCTCTCTCAGCCCAGGAGACAGCACAGCACCGGAAACACTGACTGTGTGACCCATTCCACCTTGAGAGATCCGAGGCCCGTCCTTGCTGGATGGGATGTGGGATGTCCCTCAGGACCCACGTGTCCCATACTTGGTCTCCGGCCTGTGTTGCCGCTGGGAGGTAATGGGACCTTTACAGGTGACTCTGGTCTCCAGGAGTGCGCCAGAGGGAGCTGTGGGACCCCAGTCTCTTCCTTTGCTTCACAGGTGCCACGAGGGGGGCAGCTTTCTCCATTGTGTTCTCTACCATGATGCACTACCCTGCTCGCCGCAGGCCCCCAAATCCGTAGAACCACTTTGGAGAATGACGTGGCAGAATATGGATACCTGTAAAATATGGATAAATAAAATATGCAGATTGAAACCAGGGTTTCCATCCTGGGCCCTTTAAATTTTCTCTTACTTTGAGACAGGGTCTTGCTAAGTTGCTAAATGGCTACCCAGGCAGGGCTCAAACTTGTGATCTTCCTGCCTCAGCCTCCCAGAGCGCTGGGATTATAGACTTACACTACAATGTGCCAACTGTAAAATATTAGGAAATAACTTCTGACCATAACGTTTTTCCTGGAAGCCTTTAAATAAGAAGTTCCAGGTAGCCCAGGAAGAGTCGGATGAGCCTTTTGCTGAAGGCAGAAGTGAAGAGGGTGAATATTCTGTTTTCTTTCTTAGAGCCTCTGACTCACTGAGCCAGTTTGATACAGCCAGGAGATTTCTTCGGTGATTTGATTGCTCAGGGTAGCAGTTAGAGTAGTGAAGAGATAAGGTAGGAATGGTATGGGATAATGGGATCTTTTGGCATGGGAACAACTAAAGGGAGACTGTGTGAAATGTGAGCACCCAGTGTACAGCAAGAACTTCACCGTGCAGCAGGGGCTTTGGAGTTTCAGCTGAAGGAAGGGGTCAGTGTTAAGGGAGAAATTTTTTCTGCTTGGAAAACAAAGAGAGCAGCACATTTTTATTGATTCACTGGGATGGGCTAAAGTCCAGGAAGTTTCCACTGGCCAGGCGCATGATTCTAAAAGATGTTTCGTCTTGTAGAAGATGCAGGCCAACAGGTGCTCATGGTCCCTGTGTCCCAGGGGCTGCTGAATCTTTGTGTAGTTGGCACCATCATCCTGCACAAGACATCCTGGCCTTGTGGTTCTGTCTGAGCCTTAGGGAGGGGATAAAGGACTTCAGGTGCTTGGTTATGGTTGCTGTTGCTGTTAAAGAAGCACAAAGGTAGAGTAAGAAAAAGAGAAAAAAGAGAAAGGAAAAGAAAATGCATGTAGTCTCCAATGGGCAATCGACATGTGTCCGTGCAGAGCTGTGTATAATGTGACCCAAAGCTGAAGGCAGGAGTGGGGAATAGACACACTCGGAAGAGGAAGATATCAGGGCTTTTACCCCATTTTGGTCACCCAGGAGAAATCTGCAGGCCCGGGCAGGAGTCAGTGTTCTCAGCAAGAGTGGCCTTCTGGTCCCTGGGAAGTAACCCAGGCAATGGTTATCCCAACCCACACGTCAGAGGAATTAGCTACAGCACCCCTAGTAGGAAACTGACTTCCAAAGTGAGCAGCAATCTTTAAGCCTGCGAAGAGCAGGAGAGGCTGGAGAGTTTATTTGGGCTTCTCTTCGGTAAGGGTTCCCTTGTTGGGTGTAAGTGTTCTGCTTTGGTGGTTTTATCAGTCCTGCAACAGGTCTGTTGGAGGAGGGCAATGGTAGAGAAGCAACGTGCTGTGCTACAATGGCTACTAGTTTACTGTGGCCAAGGGTTTATTTGGTTGTCTCAGCCTTTTGTCTTACCACGGTGGTCCCTAACTATCTTGGGAATAGGATATGTTTTCTACTTTCCCAAACAACTATGTGTTTTCTTGCCAACTGATCTCCTAATTTGAGTTGTCTCCAACTTTGTTCAGCTGCAGGTCTAGGGTGCAAAGGGGTGCAGACTCTGCTAGCCGCGGCTGGGGCAAAAGACAGAGGGAGGCAACCCCAAATGGTCTTGCTTGCAAGCACCTCTGTTGTTTTGCACACAGAGCCTTCGAAACTCCCGCCCTGGTGACATCTACTGTCACTGTGTTCTAGCAGCCGAGAGTGTGAATGGTGACTTGACTTGCCCTTCCTCCTCTGCAAGGTGAGATGCTGCTGCGGCTTTCAGAGGTGAGTGAACTGGCTCTTGGACCTCAGCTCCTGCACACTGTTCCCCTGGGGGTGAAATAGCCCTGGGGAGTTGCGGTGCAGCTGACGCCCAAGTTAGGAATCTTCCAGGACCCATGCTAACATTTAGCCAAGACTGAAATGGGTTAGGGAAGGGACAAAAATAGGGAATGGAGGGGCTGTTGAGGCGGTGGGAGGGTGATAGAGTAGGGATCCTCACCCTGAAGAGGCGTGAAGCCAGGTGACCTCATTACTCGGGGTCCCTGTCAGGGCAGCAGCTGTAAGGGCCAGTGGCTACTGGGGAATGAGAAGGGCCAGCTCAATGCCCAGCAGGTAAAGAAGCAAGGAGATCTGGGTAGGGAGCCGTTCTGGGCATTGGAGCCAACCACCTGAGCTTGAATCCCCGCTCTGAATATTAATCTGATTAGAGTACTTAGCTAGGTTTTTAAACCTTTCTATGTTTCAGAGCCCTTATCTCAAAAAATGGATAAATGATTTACCTGCATCATAGGGTTGTAATGAAGGTTATATGAGATCAAAAGCAGCACTATAGACAGGGCTGTCTTCTAGAACTCTCCATGACAACAGGAATGTTCTCTGTGCTGTCCACTTCAGTAACTCCCAGCTGCTGTGGCCACTGAGCACTTGAAATTGGCTAGCATGAATGGAGAATTGCAGGTTTAATTGCTTCTGTTTTAATTAACTTAAATTTAAATGCTACATGTGGCTAGAGACTGCCTTCTTGGCTGTCGCAGGCCTGGAGTCGTGCCAGGTGAGTAGGAAGTGCTTGAGGAAAGTTAAGCCACCACCACAAAGAAGAGTGAGCTTGGGGGGCCAGGGATTTCGCTCAGTGGTGCTGCCACAGACTGCCTCACAAACACAAGGTCCTGAGTTCAATCCCAGGTACAAAAAAATAAAGAAGAGTGAGCTGGGAAGCTTCATGCCGCAGAGCCTTCTTCTTCTTCAAGTTCACCCGGAACTTGGATTGCCGAGGTCTAGGAAGGTGAAGTTGTCTGTGCAGAGGCGCTCAGCATACAGCCTGCAGGGACTGGGCCATGTCCCTTGCTGGAAGTAGAGGTTCAAGGAAAGAACCGAGACCATTTCTGAGTTTGATAACCGGAACTTGGATTGCTGAGGTCTAGGAAGGTGAAGTTGTCTGTGCAGAGGCGCTCAGCATACAGCCTGCAGGGACTGGGGCCATGTCCCTTGCTGGAAGTAGAGGTTCAAGGAAAGAACCGAGACCATTTCTGAGTTTGATTCAAAGGACAGAACAAATTGGAAAAGTGTACCCGAAAGCCTAGAATTTAGGACAGGAGCTGAAAGACCAGGAGTAGGCTGAAGATGAAGCCAGACTGGGAAGGTAGTTCTGGGCGGGCCTGCAGGGGCAGGAATCCTTGTGAAGCATCTGACCACCACCCTTATTTCCTTCCCTGCCCTCTCCTTTCTTTCTAGAAAGGAACCGGAGAGAGCCCGGAAGGACCCATGAAAAAATTTGTGTCAGGTCTGCAGCGACCTCTTGTGGCTACAAGGAAACAACTGCCTCAATGAAGGACTCTGCATCCGACCTTTCTATCCCCATTCGACCACCTACCCATCCTTCTTCCTTCTGTCCATCTTTTCATCCATCCTTCCCCCAACAAACCTTTTATAAAACCTCTTCCCTATGCCAGTCCACCCCTGCCTCCATGAGCTCTGGAAAAAACAGGCATGTGCTATAGTCTTGTGTTTCTTAAGGCATTTCTCTCACGTCTCCATTAGTCTCTTTGTCACGCCGTATTATATTGGCTTTATTGTCTTTCTCTAGGCCCGCTCTTCAATCTCTTCAAAGGAAAGGATAAAATCTAATTCATCTTTGAGTAGCACAGCATGAGAGTCAAGATACATCAAAGTGGAGTTGTTAGGAGTTGTGGAGTCAGAAAAATATGGGTTATAATCCTGGTTAGGTGGCTTACTAGGCGGGGTAACTTGGCCAATGATTTAACCTCACTAAGCTTCAGATTTTACATTTGTAACATGGTAATAAATGGGTGATACCCAGTAATACCCAATAATATACCTAATAATGAATATTTATATTCAAATAATTATTGGGTATATTGGGTATTTCAATATACCCAATAATAAATTGGGTGATACCCAATATTTAATATTGTGGAGGTGATTATGCTTTTGTGTACACAGCATCATGTATATTCACTGCTCCTCCTCAAGTTAGACCCTTTTTTATATCTCCTTATGTTCCACACCACCAGTGCTATTCTATCCTCATCTCCTGAATCCACCCACTTCATCTCAGCAGCATCTTTCCTGTGCTTCTGAAAGATCCTCCAGTCTTCTCCATCTTAAAAAAGAAAATCAAACCAAGCCAGCAACCCTTCCTCTTATTTCACATCCACTGCGAGGGCCCATTTGCAGTCCATCTACACTGGGGTGCCGCAAAGGCTCCTGGTATTTTATGGGTCTTCTCTGCCCTCAGAGCAGCCTCACTCAGCTACCCGATATTTCCTCCAAGGATGATCTTTATGTGCGGCAGAGGAGAGCGAAGGGGAAGCACGGGGCTGTGCTTGCTCACCTCTCCCTCATCTCAACCCGGGCTGGTTTGTCTGCGGCCCCCTTCACGTCTCCAGCACACCCAGTGCACAGGTCTGTCTTCGTTTTGTGTGGCTGATCCTGCCTTCCTTAAGTGCGAGCCTCCACGGCTTTCCTCCTGTCTCCTCTTCCCATGTTCCCCTGCGGTCTCCACCTCCCTCCTCTGGGGGCTTTGAAGGAGCTCTGCAGACCCTGGTCCCAGGTCCTTTCTTCTTCCACTCTGTGCAGTTTTCTCATCTATGCTATGGATTGAATTACCACCTCTGACCCAATGAATTCCAAATTTATCTTCCTAGCCCAAGCCAGAACCCCAAGTTTTAGACATATGAAGGGGTCTGCTTACCTCAGAGCTTCACATGGAGAGTTCCTTAAGCTTAACCTGTAAAGACTGAGCCCAGCCTCTGCCTCCCAACCTGGTCCTCTTCTGGGGCTTCTTGTGAGCTGACAGGACCACGTCCCCTCATGTGCAGGTCAGAAACCTGGTTGTCGTGACTCTAATTGGCCCCAAGTTACGGATTAGCCCAGCCAGAATGTTCTCAGTAATTCGAGCCCTTTGGGTGAGAGGCGTTGTGTATATGTGCATGTCCACGTGCTCTGTATTACTGCTGTTTATCTGCCCCCTGCTTTGTCTTTCCGCTGGTCTGGCTAACCCTAGCATGCCTTAGATATCGATTTGTAGAGCCTTCCTTGCAGAAATGCTGTTTTGACCACTGTCTGGGCTGGGGGCACATATGTGCCCTATCTTCGTGTTTGGCACGTTCCCCTGGCTTTGTAAACTTCTCTTGCCTGTGCATTTGCTTGAGAACCACAGGCTTTCCAAGGGCAAGGGCTATGTTCATTTTGCCCTTCCCTGTTCCTTCGATGCCTGGCAGACACTGTGTGTTCATGAAACGTGTAGGATGGGACTGAAGTACGGGGGACACCTTCTCTTCTGTCCCTCTTATTCCTGGTAATGGTCGGGGTGATGGTTGTGAGTTATGATCTCCTCTGTCCTCCCACAGACCCTCTTAGTCTCTCATTCTCTTTTCATAGATAAACGGATTGCAGGATGAGGTTTTGGTACATACAGGTGGGGTTGGCTGATTTGGAGTTGGCCTCGTAGCCATTTAATTCAGCGCCTTTACGCTCTCCTTAGTGGCAGTGGGATGTGCTCTGTTTCTGTGGGGCGTGGATTTTGACTTAATCTATGCAGTCCCCTTGAGCCACAACTCCACCCTCCATCTCCATGCTCCGTTTTAATTTTACACGCACTCCTTACATCTCTTCTTGCAGGTACCTTTCTAGGTAGCTTGCTAATTTCTTTTCTTTTCTTTTTTTTTTTTTTGGTGTGCTGCAGATAGGCCATCCTTGACTGAAAGTCTGTGGTAACCAAAGGCGGCCTCAGAAATTTGAGAGTGGCTCCAAAGAGAGGCTGAAAACTGCTGGAGGCTCATTCTTCCCTGGAGATTGTGGAAGAAAAGCATATATAATTAAAGTGATAAATTGGATTTTTTGGGTTCTCTGTTTACCACTGTCAAACATAATCTATTTCATGCATTTATACAGAATGCATAAAATAGGTCAGAATTAATTTTCTTCAGTTTGCTTATTTTCCCCTCCAGTTCCCCGGGGTAGATGTGGAACCCAGATGGGAATGGGAAGACTGCAGGCTTTGTGTATTTAGAGGAGACGGTGGTAAAGGATTTAGTGCACTGGACCCTGGGAGCTGGACACCCACGAGCAAGTAAACAATGACAAAAGGTAATGAGTGTCTGGGAAAGGCGGATGAGGAGTCAGGCTGTGCAGCAGGAGAATCGCGGCTCAGCCCAGCAGCTCGTCGCTCTCCTCTCCACTCTCAAGGTGCTCCTTCTTCCGCTCCTCCCTTCCGCTCCTCCCACCCTCAGTTTCTCCCTCTACATCTGCATATTTCCATGCACAAATGTCATCCCCCAAAGAACAAACCTCTCTCTTAGGCGCATCTAACTTTCTCCTCCATCCTTCCAAGGCTAAGCTCCCCGCCCCTGCTTTCCAGCGGTCCCTGTTTGTGCCCCACGGCCCCCCTCCGGCAGCCCCACGCCCTCCACTCAGCTGCTTCTGCCAGTCACAAAGACTTCCGCACTGCCAGCTTTGACAAGGGGCAGACTCTGCCCTCTGGTTCTTGGGTGGCTCAGCAGCATTTCCGGCAGTTGAATGACGTTCCACCAAAACAATGTCCTTTCTTGGTGTCCCCCACATCGCCCTGCCTTCTACCTGGCTCAGTCTGATGGCTGGATTCACCTCCTTTCCCTGACATTAAAGGAAGGGAGGTACAGAGCTCCGTCCTACTCCCTCCCTTTCTCCCGGGTCTACTTAGTCCCATGGCTGTAAATATTATGCTAGCGACACCCAGATTGGTGCCCTGACATGGTCCTACTCCCTCCCTTTCTCCCGTGTCTACTTAGTCCCATGGCTGTAAATATTATGCTAGCGACACCCAGATTGGTGCCCTGACCTGACCAGAGAATGCACAGTTGCCAACAGTGATCCTCCAGCTGGGAGGCTTACAAACACCTCAGACCTAACAAGTCTGAGATAAAACTTCACTCCTCTCCTCCTTGCTGGGAATCAACCAATCAGCAATGCTTTTCATTGTTCCTGAGCTCTTCCCATCATCAATTTCCTTCCTTCCTTCCCAACCCCCCTCTTTTTTTTTGTTACTGGGGATTGAATTTGGGCCCTTGCGCTGGCAAGGCAGGTACCCTAACTGCTAAACTAAATCCCTGGCCCTCCTCCCCCTTTTTAAGAATACTTGGGATTAAAACCAGCGAGTGCTGAGATATACCCTCCCCCAATTTAAAAAAGAATTACGTTGAGACAAGTTCTCACTAGGTTTCATAGGCTGGCCTTGCACCTGTGATATTCCTGCCTCAGCCTCTTAGAGTAGTTTCTCACCTCATAGTTTTCTCGTCCCCACCCCACCCCAGTTGCTCCAATAGAAACCTCAGAGTTGTGCTTCCCATCCAAGTTCTACTGATTCCTCTCTAAAAATACATCTCAGATCTTCCTCATCCTCCCAGCTTCCGGACACCCCAAATCCTTTGCCTATGTTACCATGAAGGCCTCTTACTTATTTTTTCGGCTCCTATGCTCTTGCCCACCTTTCTTTCCACTTCACGCACGGAAGTAAAAAGCGGCCCACTCATACAGTATAGACAGACAGATGTAAACCTTTGCTTAAAACCTTTGTCATTCCACCGCTGCGCCCGGGATGAAGTAGCCCTCCTCAGTGCTGTCCTGCGTGCCTGGGCTCGTCTCCTACACCCGTGCTGGGAGAGTTTTCAGCATTGTCAGCCCTGGAGCACCCACGCTCCTCAAGCTTCCTTCACCCCTCTCCTTCCTCGGTGGCTCTTCCCAAGCTGCCGCACCCACCTTCACCCTTTCTAAAACAAACGAGTGAAGAAATAAATAAACAGTACACGGAGAATTTCAGCAGATCACTGACTAACCAAGAGATTGCAGCAAGTACCTCGGGGTGGCCGTTACTCAGCACTATTTGATTACACATTTTTGTTATATTTCCTTCAGGTTTTTCTTAAAAGAAATAAACGACTCGGAACCTATGGAAGCCCAGGCACGCTCCCTAACTCTGGTCTCCTTCTCTTTCCGGGATCAACCCCTGCGTTATTTCCCACCCTTTCCACACACACGTGTGCCCCGCGGCCCACAGCTGGCTCTGGGCGTCCCCCACTCTGGCTCTGCTCCCCGCCTTTCCTCGGCGTGGTCGGTGGGGTGGATTCAGACCGGCAGATGTGGCTTTCGTTGTCATTTTCACCGGGGCGCTGTATCGGAGGTCTAACTCCACCTGTCTTCCGAGTGACAGATGGCGGTGCCCTTGGGTGTGGATTGTTGGCCACTGTGAACTATGCTGCTGAAAACATTTGTACGCCTCTCCTTGGGCACACGTTTGAGTTTCTCTA